TCAGATTGTGAGTCGAGCGCCTTATCCACCTGGCCATGCCGGGCCCTATTTGTACTGTTGCAGTGGGCGCAAAAAATAAAGGAACTGGTGATTTCAAATAATCTATTCATATCTGTGTAAAATGGCTGAAAGGGGCACAGACAAAATATTCAAGACCTTATTTATTGCTACACAGACCCGAAAAGATATGTAGCCACCAGAAGCATCCTCTTGTGAAACACAATTCACAAGATATTAACAATATCTGCAATACCCAGAAACCGCCACTTTACGTATATTGACTCACTATATAACAGTTGACCTTTAAAGTATATGTAACAACCAAAAGTTAGTCGCTGTAACACTTTATCAAATACTTCTTCATATAGATAAGCAGGGAGATTTGTCTCATTTCAATAATATCTCGACCCCTAGTGACATAGCGGTAAGTCTACGTGCTTATAACACTAGAAACCGGGTTTCGATACCTGTGGTGAGTACAGCACAGGTAGCCCATTGTGTATAGCTACATAAAACAAACAAATAATAATCTCTCTCCTGCAAAGGTAAGCGTCATCTTAGGGTTAATAAAGTTATGTAAGCACTATTTTTACATAGAAATCGTCTGGAAATTGTCATTCGGGTGGAATGGATACTTAGTCCTAATGACTATTTAATTTCATGCCACGGAAAACGTACTTCAATGTTGATAATTGGAAGACATATCGCGATCTCATAAGAAATACCTATTTCAGCTGACGCATTCAAACTTGTTGCGATGGTAGACGTGATATATATATGATTATTTCAAATTAAATGAATAAATTACTGATATATATATATATATATTTAATAATAACATTTCTAAACAATTTGGCTCTTCAGGTATTTAAATATCTTTCAAAATTATGTTTACGGTTAATTAATTTTAGGCAATTTTTTCTAGTATTATAAGTGTAATTTGTTTAAAGATTCATGACAACATATTTTCTGAAGAACGCATTTTTGTAACACTTATGCATTACATTGTTAAATAGTAGTTTTAACTGGACTTCAAAAGTTAATGTTTTTAATCAGTGATTCCTTTCAACAATGTTGGAGGTGATCCAAAAGTTATCTTCCCCGGAGCAGTATCCTATTTCGATTGTATGTGTTTTCAGATTAGTTGTTTGAGTTACTGTACGTGTGAACACTATATAAGCATAGCACACAGACTAATAAAGAACCAACAATATGTGACGCTTTACAGATAAAATATTATGAACAAGGAACTGATTTACGTGTTGGTCAACTAGCATTTGATCAATATCTTACGCGTTTGGTCAAGTACAGCCACAGCAAGTTACACCTTAAATCCGAATTATAACGGTTGTTACATACATACTCGTTGAATATTTTTTGTGTTGGGTACTACGCAGTAAACAGCGTAATGGGAGAAATAGACTTGAAAACTATCTTAAAACCAAATATCATGTACAGTATCGTAAATGTTTACCTTGAACTAAGAGAAATGAGCATGCTTTTATGCGATGTTTATTTAATATATCTTTTAGAGAAAGTTATACGTGATGCTATACTGTTGATCCATCGTAAATGTTTTTATTTTGAAAAATAAACTTGTTTTAGCTCCTAACCAAACGCTTTCAATATTTTCAAGTGGTCAAAGTTTTGTATGATTCTTGTTGGAACCATTTTTGCGTTTTGTGAGCGGATTCTGTAAATTTTCATGGTAAACAACTTGGATCCCACATTGACAATTTACTTATATAGTGACAAGCTGCTTTTCACCTCCAATATAACGTTTGAAGGTATCACTTTTCATGGTGTTTATTTATATGCTAAGCAAGTTTAAATCTTATTATAATGGAGCTTGCGATGTATACGTCTAAAACTCGGATCTCGGAAACTACCGCATCGATCATCACCATCTCATGAGTGTTGCAACAGAAAAGCAAGGTACTTTCTTTGATCATTGCGTCTACAAAGAAATACTTCAATAAAATCAACTCTGTGATGTAAGTCTGTGATGATAGCTCATTTTAAAACTAAAATTCCAATAAAATCATTTTTCTCGTGGATGGTGAACATTATTTAATGTCAAGTATGAGTGCACTGTTGTGTAACTGTCAGACAATTCCAGAAAAGGTCGCAGGTCCAATAGCCTTCCGCAGGAACTAAAAGTTATACCTGCCCGAAGGGCGGGTATTTCTGTTAGTAAGATTAAAAGTTAATTAAAATAAGGCTTATGTCGAGCTTAAAACTAGCTAGAATCTTTATACATAAAACAAGTATCAATCGATAAATAAGACTAAATGTTAAATTTTACAGTTAACTAATTTGCCTTTTGTACGCAAAAGTGAGCAAAATAGAAATATCGTAATCTGTCTGAGCTTTTATAACCTTACCACATTACAGACATGAAATCTGAATGTTGCCTATTCCATTACCACACAATGACAGTCTCTTTGTTTATTTCTATATACAGTAAAGCCTCATATGTTAAATGCTAAACATGTAGGACATCAATGATATAACTGTGATGTTTGTGTCATTTTGCGGTAACAAAGGACTATAAAAAACAACTTTTTTAAAGGAGTTATTTTACAACCCTTGAATTGTGCAAATAATGTTATGACTATTTTCAAGTTCAACAGAATAAAGCTTTTATTGGTTTAGGTCTTATAAATAGTCAATTTAAGACTTACACCCACTTTCATCAGTTCCACAGCTAGAACATTACTGGGCTTCTTAATATGGTGTTTTGGGATAAATAGTTTACAGGGTTGTATTCACTTTTAGATGTGTGTAAAACAGAAATGTGTGCAAGCTTGGTGTGTTAAGTATAAAAAGTATCTTATTATGAACAAAGTGGGGGAGTATGACATGTTTAATGTATACTTGCTAAATACACTATGTAGAAATTTTATCTATCAGCCTGTCCAATGTATTTTACCCATATAAGGTGTTAGACTTGTATATGTATAATGCATTAGCATTATTTGCAAAAGATATGAGTGCTTCTTTGTAATGTCATAGCACTTTATAGACCGTGTGAAAACGTTTTATACCACACATGATAGCTTCTGAGATATTCTTTTTTTACTTTTGGGGAAATTACTGCACACTTATGCAATCCACAGTCAACAAAATTCCACTCGTTTCTTTCGTTAATAAATTTCTCATCTGCTCAAATTCTAAAACAACGCCAAGTAACTGCATGCAACTTATTTTTGTATTTATTTTTTACTGAATGCTAAATTAATTAAAAAAAAAAACAATCGCAGGGTATTGAACTTGGGAGTACTAACTGTTTCCAGCTATTTATTGATTATTTCGATACAATAACTAGTTATTTGTGTCAGAAGAAACAAAAAATTTGTAGGAAGAACAACTGCATTTCCGGTCACTTTTCGTAACGTATCTATCCAATACGAAACAAGGTTTTAAGATGTGCTTTATATTTTTCAGGTCTTGACGCTTCAAAAGGTGGTTGTTGAGCTGGAATGTTTAAACTCATGCTCTGAGAGGAAAAAAGTTGAAGACCGTCGCTGTAGCGCCTCCACCCGGAACCTACTTCTAAAAGGCCAATTACGTCACTTGGAGTCATGGGACGCTGTTATTTTTCTTTGTGTTCCTTTGTAAGTACACACTGTAGTTAAAGCTGGAGTGTAACATATATCGCAAGGGTATGACATTTTACAAAATGTTAACAAGTAACGAAAAATATTACAAAGTTAACTTCTAATTATCTATACTTACATAAATATTCGACAAAAAAAAAGGTTCAGACCCTAAAAACCATATAAAGTGATATCAACACTACATATAGAACCTTTTTTTTTCTTTTCCAGTATGTTTAATGAATAAATGAAATATTTTTAATGTTTGCTTTAAAGGAAAATCATGGAAAAAGTATTGAATAATGTGGTAGCATTGCTTCTTTGTGTTTGGTTTCATTTTGCTGTTTTATATATTAGAAGTATTTTTCGTATTTAGTGGTATTTCTATAAGTCATTAAGGTGTTTGTGGGCTTAAGCACTCAGCTCCATACCATTAATTGATTTTCCATGATAGCTGACTAGCTTGCCATCAGCGTTTGGATTTTGTCTGATAGATGGGATATCTCCAACGCATTTGGGTGCTATTACCACAGGCGTTATCCGTTATGACATCAAGCTGACAGCTAGGGCCGACAATGGCAGTTCCAGTGTAATGCTTCTTTCATATATATGTATATATTGCACAAGTTGCATTTTAAAGTATTTATTAAAGTCATAGAAGATGAACGCGTTTAAGTACGAAAAATAAAGTTGACATTTAGAAGAAGCAGGAAATAGGCTCTCTTAGATTTCACTAAACACATGTATTTCTGTAAGGAAGATTGATAGATTTGCAAAACTTCAGTTCCCCAGTGTACAATCAATAAGTTGGCAAGCTTAGAACAGTTCTTGTAAAAGCATACCACAGAAATGGGAACGATACCGCTGCGGTACTGAAATGCATTACAAGGCGTAATAAAAATTGATATGAGACGCAGGCCAAGAAAAGACATATATCGAGTACACAACGCTAAATCAGCTAAAGATTGTGTTTCTTATTAGAGCCTATTCTATACACTTCTAAATCATGGTTAAAACTGATATATGATTTACTAGGCCTTATTATCAATATTATTTGCAGTAATTAGAACCAACATATACGGACTTTTCTCATAGGTTTGGAAGTAACAGTTATTGATGTAGAAAATATTAATATAATTAGAGACAAGAAACTCGTGAACATTAGGCTTAGAGAGATTTCTAAAATGAGTCTACAAAAAAACGCCTTAAAGTAAATTAATAAAATTGGTTTCGTTTGTTTGTTTTTAATTATGCACAAAGCTACACAAGGACTATCTGTGCTCTGCCTACCACGGGTATCGAAACCAGGTTTCTAGCGTTATAAGTCCGCAGACATACAGCTGTGCCACTGGGGGGCAAAATTGGTTTCTTAGAAAAATTGTGAAGAATGGCCATTAAAAGGAACATTTGTATGAAAGTAATGTTTCTAACAAACGTGATTATACGTATTTGTTTTTTGTTGTTTATATTATTTTGCAATTTGAGCTTTTAACCTTCAGAAGACTGCAAATGCTGCAATAGTTCTTAAAAGCAAATCATACATTACAAATAAAAATTATTAAGAGCGACTTTCTTAGGGTCACAATTTGATGTTTCTACGAAGACAAAAAAAAAAACAGCAACTTACTTTATAAAGTGAGGTTATTACTAAAGTTGTTTCTATAGTCAATAGAAAGAAAAACAAATCATTCTAGTCGTATCTGAAAACAAACTATTTGACTATATATATATCAAATCTGTCATTTTTCACATAATAATAACACATTTTTCCGATTTTAAAGAAAAATATGAATTATTAAAATATCTCATTGAACAAAAACAGATCTGTTTCTTTTCTACTATTTCTGCTTGATTATTTTAGTTATAAAATCCAGACTTTGCAATGAAGTTTCGTGATCAAGCAACTTTAGTCGTGTATTTCGACATCGTTTCGTTGTATGTTATAGCGTAAGTTTCCAAATGTTAAATATAGCAGCATATTTGGTTTGAAAGTCAGAAAGGATGAGGAAAGTGTGTCCAAGAGGACAGATAAGTATCTGTAAAGATACCACACAGTGAGTTTGTATTACAGACTGACAATGAAATGTTTGTGGTAGACAGAACAGGGTCTCTTTGTGCTAGCTTATGTAAATACTTTCCGTGCTCATACCTAATCTTGAATAGCTTTCCTTTTTGACTAAGCCTTTCGACTAGCTAAGTACTTGGAGTTTATTATGACACGCCAAGTAACCATTAACTGGAGAGTTGTGGAGTTCATATATTTACGAAGCAAAAGTGGAGTCCTCAGGTTATATGCGTGTAACTGATAATTCTGATCACTGCCACTCGACCTGTACAGCACATGCAAACACACATTTAAAATTACATTGTTGAACTTGATACAAATACTTGCCACTGTTTTTCGACAGTTGTGCCTTCTTGTCGTTTGTAATTTATGTTTTAGACTCTCGAGATTTGAAACGTTGGCCATATCTGAGATAACTTATAATGTGCTGGATAGTTTTCGTCATCTCCGATAAGAGAAGAATATATCTCTGGATAGAAATATCGAAGAGTAGTGCTAAATATTCCACGCTTGCCGAAACTCATAAGATGTTATTTGTACTAAAATATTAACAAAGTAAGGTACCACACTGATGAATTACTATATTCTAATCATTATAATTTTTAATAACATATTCCTTATTAGACAGTCGTATAAAGTTGTCTTCATTA